ATACCCTAGGATATATTTACATGGATTTATTTCTAACAAGTAGTTTAATTACAATTAGTTTATATCTATTATAACTGTTGTAGGAGACTGAAAAAGTTAAAAGTAAAAACCAGTGAAATCTTCCTTGTCAGAGGAAGGTCTGATAAATGTCCTTTACATCTTTTTTTTTTTTTCCTGTGCTGTTTTTATTGGTTTGATTGTTTGCTAATAAAGCTGTACTCTTTCAGCACATCATCAGAAACACGTTCTATGTCATTGCAAAGTTTATCATTATTTTTAATGATCCTTGTAGTAGTCTGTGTTTAAGTTTCCAAGGTTTTTATTATTTAACAGATCTTTCTGGTTAAGGTCTTCTTAACCCAAATTAATTACTTGGTTAAAAGTTCTGTGTATTTTCCAGATTCTTGGTGTTCCATTTCCCATTGTTCCCGAGGCAGTTTCATTCCCATTAATATTTCTTCTCTTCTACTGTTCTGCTATTTATATGCTTTTTCTTTAGCACTTTGTGTGTGTGTGTGTGTGTGTGTGTGTGTGTGTGTGTGTGTGCGCGCCGTGCACGCATGTACACAAGTCCCAAGTCCCAAAGCTTGAACTCAGGACTGGGTACTATCACTGAGCTTTTTTTTTTTTTTTTTCAGGTAAGGGGTAGGTTTATTCAGTAGACCTGCTGGGACCAGACCAGGTTGGCACTCCACACAGCTGGGAAAGGCCTGGGAAAGACCTGAGAAAGAGAGAGCTGGGAAAAGAGGTGGGAAAGAGAGAGAGCTGGGAAAAAGAGCTAAAAGAGCTGGAAAAGAGCTGGGAAAGAGCTGAGAGAGAGCTGGGAAAAGAGGTGGGGAAGAGGTGGGAAAGAGAGAGCTGGGAAAGAGAGAGAGCTGGGAAAAAGAGCTAAAAGAGCTGGAAAAGAGCTGGGAAAGGGCTGAGAAAGAGCTGAGAAGGAAAGAGCGTCTGGGCCTGGGCTAGGTCTTATCTAGGGTTTGGGTGGGGAAAGGTGTGGCCACATCAAATTCAGATGTGACCTCAGCGGATGCAGATTTGACCTCTTCCAGATGTGCCAGTTGCCTAGGTAATGCAGGTACTGGGTGGAGACTTTGCTGCGAGGAGGGTGGAGTCTGCTGGCCATCCAGGAGCGGACCTTACATTCCAGCCTTTTAATAATCGTGAAATAGGGTGCAGATTCTCTCTGGCTACTTCCTGCTGACAAGGGGTGTTGACAATAGGGGTAAAAGCTGGAATTTGGTCCCCTCCCAGAGAAGGCAGCGAGCAGCAGCTTTCCCTTGGTGGTGTGAGTCCTCAGATGAAGCCTGGAGAAGTCTCATGAGGCATTGAGGGGCTGGAAAAAAAATACTAGAGAGCAAATAAATGGCAAGAGGAAGGACTTGGGGCTGAAAAATGTTGGTAGGTATGTCCCTATATGATGACAAGGTAGAGGAGAATTCAGGTAACAAAGGCAAGAATGTAAATTCCTGTTCAGTTAATAGGTAGACAGGTATAGACATTGGATGGGCAGGCGGCTTCTTGCTTCTACTGACCTCCCGGCTCTGGTTAATTTTGAAAGGGCAGGCACAGAGTGGCTGATGTGACATCATCTCCTCTTACTCCTCTCCATGGTCCCTTGTTCCCCAGACTGGCTGGGTCTAGGTGCTCGTTGCTGGGATGGCTTGTCCCAGTTGGTATTCAAGGAGGACTGAACTCAAGGCCTGGGCACTGGCCCTGAGCACTTCTGCTCAAGGCTAGTACTCTACACTTTGAGTTACAGTACCACTTCCAGTGTTTGGCTGGTTAGAGATAAGAATCTTGAGCCAGCTTCCAGCCTGGCTCTTTGCAGGTTAGTTGGGAGATGGAGTCAGGGATTTTTCGGCCCGGGCTGGCTTTGAACTGCAATCTTTGCCACAAAAGCTCTTTATTATTTCCAATTAAAGCAACAAGGAGATCAACTAGAATAAGTAGAGTTTACCTACTTATCAAGTTCTTATCAATAATTGACCAACAAATAGTCTGCAATGACTAAACTCATTAGATGTGATGAGAATTTTAGCACAGATATGCCCAGTATTTTAGAACCACATAGTCAGTAGTAGAATACACAACACAAAACAAAAAAGGCAAAACTCAAAACCTAAAATTTTGACAACAATGTTTAGACATCTTTGCTAACAAAGCACGTCAGATGGTTGGGCCTCACTTACCAGGGCCTGTGAAAAGAGCAACTTGTTAGCAAGGCACCTTAGAATAGATGGATGGAGTGGTAAACTTAGTGGAAGGTTAAGGGTCAGATGGGGCCAAACCCTTAACCCACCATGTGGCCAAGATGGCGAATTTCTGAAAAAATGTAAAGAAACTCTGAACAAATAAATCAAGCCTAGTTTGGCTAGCCTTTGAGAGGGAACCTAGAGGGGGTCCCTGGGACCCAGCCTGCGTTGCACTCTTCAGGGCACAAGCCAAAATGTAGAAAAGAGAAAGGGAGAGATAGGAAAAGTTGGACATGACTGGCAGAGAGAGAGAGCGAAGAGAACCTGAAAATAAACAGACTTCTGACCATTTACCATTGCAGTGGCAAAAACTGTCTACATCTGAGAATGGCATAAAAATGAGGCACTCTGGCTTTCCAGGGAGTGCAGGAGGCATTTCAAAGGTGTGACTCGCAGCACCCCATTAAATGTGTAGGAGAGTCAGTCTGGTGAGTGAAGGAGATCTGACCAGGCAGAAGCGGCATCCTGACTTCCCCCAGAGCCTTCTAGAGAGAAATGGCCAAGCCCCCAACACCAAGTGTCCTCGGCTTCAGAGGTGACCAGCCTTTCAGCTAAAGGCCGTAGGAGCTCTCTGGCGTGGCGCCACGTGTGGACAGAGACTGAGCGACAGAGAGCCGTAGAGAGTAGTTTCACTCACCAGAGTAGAGAAGTGGTGTGGACGTGGATGTGAAGGCAGCAATGGTATCGATGCGCTGTGTCCGCAGCAGACAGACGGGTTTGCAAAAGGCCGTCAGAACTGTGGGTATTCCTCAGAGCAAAAAGGGAAGAACAAACAAAAAAAGAAAAAAGAGGGAAAAAAGCAGAGAGGAATCCCACCTATACTGACTTTAAGCCCTTTATCCGAGTCACGGCACCATTTATGTTACTTTTTTTTTTATTTTTATTTTTTAGGACTTAATATTTTTTTTTTATTTTAAAACACTACAAATTTACAGAAATTGAGATAGTGTGGCACTAGATAGTGTGGCACTAATGAGCTTTCATTAGTGGTCAGTTCAATTTTGAAAAAATAGGCTAAGAAATTCAATAGGGAAAAGAGCAGTTTTCCTATCAATGGAACTACATATCTACATGTAAAACTTTACATCATATGAAAACATAACTCAAAATGGATCATACTTATAAAAATATTAAACCCTAAGAGTGTGACTTCCTAATCTTGGATGGGATAATGACTCTGATGACTCCTTAGATATAATACAAAAGCACAAAAAGTAAAAAAAATGATTAAATGGAACTCATCAAAATTGAAAACTTTTGTGCTTCAACTATACTTCAAAAATGTGAAGAGACAAACCACAGTCTATGAGGACATATTTGTAAGTTATATATCTAAAAGGAGACTTGCATTTATATCCTTAAGAAAACAGCCCCATTAGAAGTTGGACAAAGGATTTGAAGGGACATTTTTCTAAGGAAGATTATATAAAGAGCTAATAAGTACTCTATGTAAATGTAAATCAAAACCTCAATCTACTTCACACCCACTTGGTGACTAGAATGATTATATTTAAAAAGAAAACAAAGCAAAACACAGACAATAAATATCAATGAAGGAGAAATTGAATCCTTGTATATTGCTAGCAGATTGTAAAATGTTGTAGTTCCTCCAGAAATGGTTTGCAGTTCTTTAGAACATTAAATACAGTTAACCACATGACTAAACAACTCTATTTGAAGGTATATACCCAACAGTTTTTGTCACAAAAATGGATATACAAATATTTGTTAGGTTTTTAAAAAGAGGTGGCCGAGTAAGAACAGCACCACACAGGTGGTATTCAGGTAAGGGGTAGGTTTATTCAGTAGACCTGCTGGGACCAGGCCAGGTTGGCATTCCACACGGCTGGGAAAGGCCTGGGAAAGTCACTGAGCTTTTTTGCTCAAGGCTAGTGCTCTTCCACAACTCCACTTCTGGCTTTTTGGTGGTTAATTGGAGATAAAAGTCTCATGGACTTTACTGTTCAAGCTGGCTTTGAACTGTGATCCTTAGATCTCAGCCTCTTGCATAGCTAGGATTACAGGTATAAGCCTCATGCACCAGCTCTGTACCTAATTTTTAAGAACTTCCCTAATTGCTTTTTAAATTTTGGTTTTCATATTATCCTATTAGTCTATTAGCACTGAATTTAGTTGAGTGAAATTATGTGAAAGTTTTAGTTCTGAAAGTAGTATTCAGATAACATCCATATAACAGTGTCATTTGCATTTTATGAAATTGTGATTTACAATAAGTTGCAGATATGATTTCTTTTTAAAAAAAAAAATGGGACTTGGTGACACTAGCTCATGCCTGTAATTCTAGCTACTCCAGAGGTTGAGATCAGGTGCTGGTTGAGGAGGCTGAGAGCTGAGCATTGTGGTTTGAAGCCAGCTCCTGCAGTAAAGTACATGCAATTCTTATCTCCAATAAACCAGCAAAAATGGGGAAGTAGAGTTGTGGCTTAAATAGTAGAATGGTAGCTTTGAGCAAAAAAGCCAAGTGAGAGCATAAGGCTCTGAGTTCAAACCTCCCCCCCCACCTAGCAAAAACAGGACTTGAGTTGTGTCTCACATGGTAGAGTACCAGTCAACCCAACCAAACAAGTTGAGCAAGCACTATGCCCTAAGTTCGAATCTTGGCACCTGAAGAGAAAAAAAAAGCTTTGTTTTAAGGTTTTTTAAAATAAATAATTTCAGTTTAATGATTTATTTCAAACGTGCTATTACATTTGGTCTTAATATTAGTATTTTGCCTCCCTCTCACAGAAAGCCATAGATCTTGCTAATAAAGCAGCACAGGAAGACAAAGCTGGCAACTATGAGGAGGCCTTGCAGCTCTATCAACATGCCGTGCAGTATTTTCTTCATGTTATTAAATGTAAGGTCATAGTTTATTTAAAAGTAGTAGTTTCTGCCATTTCAGTTATAAAGTGGAAGTAAAAATCCAAGGAAATTCTAATTCATCCTTGCACACACACACACACACAATCCTCTTTTCTTACAAATAATTTTTAAGTACTCCAACTTAACTAATAAAGGTGAAAGATATTATAGTTACAACTTTGTATGCCTAGCATCCTAAAATGTTTAAGTCAAGAAGAACTTAATTTTATGAGTGGTATTCCCAAATTGTGTAATCTGAGCATACCTATATTCTACCCATATGCTTAGATGGGAGAGATTGGTGTCTCCTACAAACACATATTGCTATTTGCCATGTGTCAGGTACTGTTCTGAGATAAAGTGAGAAAAATAGATCTTAAGTTGGAGCAGTTGGTAGTTCAAGGTTTACTTTTGAGCTTTCCCATTTAAGAGGAAAGGGGAAGGTTCATGCCAAATGAAAGGGAAACTAAGAATAAGTTCTAACACGTAAGATTCATGCACTAAACCCATGCGTTATATATGTTGCTAAATCCACTTAGTAACTGATGGAGACATTTAGGTAGTAAGATTATTGTATTAATGGTATGCATAATATCTGAGACTCTAACATATTTGAAGTAAAGCTTATAAAAACATAGAAGTAATTTTGCTTTGCTCCGTTACTTACTCCTCTTATTTTATTTTTATTAATATGTATTTTTCCTGTTGGTTTCAGTGTGGTATTTGACACATCGATATAGCATGCGCTGTCTGGCTTCTTTTATTTGGCCTTTCCCCTTTCCCAGCTATAGAAAACCTGTTCTACATTCAGGTTTTCATGTAGTTGGTTTCATGTTCAGTAGTCAGCTGTCAACTATCTGCAAAATGGAAAGAAAAGTATGAAACTACAGCATATGGTTGTTTAACATTAAAGTGCCTATGCCTTGCTCAGGTCACTTTTTTGCTCCAACCCACCTGTGATTTGGAAAGGACTAAGAAAGGGTTGAGGCTGGGCACAGTGACTCAAGCCTATAATCCTAGCTGTTTGAGAGGCAGAGGTTTGAGGGATAGTGATTGAGGCCAGACCAAGCATAAAATTTTTTAAGACTTCACCTCATCTAGGAATGATGGCATGTACCTGCCATTTTAGTTACAAAGGGGAGCACAAATAAGAGGAGCATAGTCCAGGCTGCCCCTGGCATAAACAAGACTCTATCTCAAAAAATCATCAACAGTGGGCTGGGAAGGTGGCTCAGTGGTAGAGCGCTTGCCTTGCATGCATGAGGCCCTGGGTTTTATTCCTCAGCACCACATAAGCAGAAAAAAAAAAAAAGCTGGAAGTGGTGCTGTGGCCCAAATGGTAGAGTGCTAGCCTTGAGCTGAAGAGCTGAGGGACAGTGCCCAGGCCCAGAGTTCAGGCCCCACGACTGGACACCCCTCCTCCCCACCCCCCCCCACACACAAAATCACCAACAGTTATTAACTTTCTATATAGAAAACTACTGGAAAAGTCTTTTTCATTCTCATCAACAGATGAAGCACAAGGTGATAAAGCCAAACAGAGTATCAGGGCCAAGTGTACGGAGTATCTTGATAGGGCAGAAAAATTAAAAGACTACCTGAAGAAAAAGGAGAAAAAGCCACAGAAGCCAGTAAAAGAGGGACAACCAAGCCCAGCTGATGAGAAGGGGTATGTATATAAAATGTTGATTGTAACTTTGCACTTGTTTACACCATTTGTTAGCAAACTAGGAGTCATGGGTTAGAGTGAATTTGCTGCCTGGTTTTGGTCAGGATTTTTGTTGGAACAGAACCTCATCCATTTATTTGTTGTCAGGCAAGGCTGCTTTCATACTTTATCAGAATAGTTAGGGGTTGCTGTAAAAACCATATGGCCACAGTCCTCAACCTGAAATATTCATCGACGAGAATTTGCCTATCCATGTATGAAATACCTCAAGTAACTGAACTCCTTGCCTGCTTGCCTCTAATGGGGGAAGCATATGTTGGATGGTACTGCCTACTGTGCAATACCGAGGGTTGAAGTTGTACAGTGATCTGTGAACTACTGACAATGTGAAAAAAAGTAAAAAGTAATTCTAATATGGCAGATAATATTTTGGTTCGTTTATGCAAAAATTTTCAATATATCTTTGTATTATGTTGTCACTAAAAAAAAAGGACAGCAAAATTTGTAAATATTGAAAGTAGGTTTTGGAATGTCTTTCTAGAAGAGATCTGTTTTGAAAGACATGAGGAATGTAAGCACTAGAGTTCACTGGTTGCTTCAAAGTACCTGGCAGTGTTTGAAGAAAATAACATAGTAAAGCTTTATATTCTCTGTTCAAGACATACTTAGGGAGCCAAGGAGTTTCTGGGACACCCCAAGAATATTTTATCTTCACCTACATCTCTGACGTAACATAACTCAAACCATCCATTGAGTTATGATCTTAGGGAAATGTTTCAGTTTAAAGTTTATTATGAAAGTACATTTAATGTGGGACAGAAACTCAATTGAACTTCATGTTTTATCTATTTATTTTGCTGGTCATGGGGTTTGAACTCTGGGCCTGGGCACTGTCCCTGTGCTCTTCAGCTCAAGGCGAGTGCTCTACTGCTTGAGCCACAGCGCCACTTCTGGTTTTATAGTGGTTTATTAGAGATGAGAGTCTCATGGACTTTCCTGCCTGGACTAGCTTTGAACCGTGATTCTCAGATCTCAGCCTTCTGAGTAGCTAGGATTACAGGCGCCCTCAAACTTCAAGTTTTAGAAATTACTTGACCTCAAGTGTCTGGGACACTTCCCTCTGGCCCAGGCCTCATTGAGAAGCATCCATCTCCCCTGTCTGTGGAGACGGTGCAGTCTTGCATGGTGCCCCTAAACTTCCTTTGGTGCTTACCAGCGGTGCGGCAAGGGGACGCCACTTTTGATGCGCAGTCTTACATGGTATTACCTTACAGAATCACACTGTATTCCTTATCACTAGGAGAAGTGCCCAGTATGTCATATCCAAGAAGGGATTCCCTGCTGCCAAGCACTCCTAGTGAGCCCTCTGTCACAGCTCCTCTGCTGTCTCCACTCAGGCAGCCCCACCTTCTTTGAGGAACCTATCCCCTGTGGAACCTACCTGCAAGGGGCCCTCCAAAAGGCAGTTTTTTCCAGATGAGGAAAGCATGATAGGAAGTTGGATTAGGTGAATAAACTTCTCAGTGTCCATCAGATCCCTAAGCTAGCATCCTTAGAGAAACAAAACCATCCTATTTGGGCATAAACTCTAAAACATTTTATATCCTTTATATCTTACATACATATTTTTAATGATGTAATACTACTTAAAAAAAATCAGTCTTCCACTCAGCGTTTTATCAGAAACACCTTACTCCTTTATTTCTTTACATCTATACTTCTCTAACATGATATTTTTGTTGTTGTTGCGATTCTGAGGTTTGAGCTTAGAGCCTTACACCAGACAGGTACTCTACCACTTGAATTGTGTCCCAGCCCATTTTGTTTGTTATTTTTTTAATAGGGTGAAGCTGAACTGGACCTCAGTCCTCCTATTTTTCTTTCCCTCAAAGCTGAGAGTTATAGGCATACACCAGTGAACCTTGCTCTTCATTGGTTGGGATAAGAGAGGGATCTCAGGAGATTAAAAGTTTTGCTGAGGCCAGCCTCCACCCAAACGCCTCCTGATCTCAGCTTCCCAAGTAGCTAGGATTATAGGTGTGAACCACACCACACATGGCTTACAAGATAATTTTTAAAGTTTGCAGTACATTCTGTCATAAGCTAAAGTTTTTATTTGCATAATAGCCCTAGTCCAATGTATTATTATCCTTGAAGTCAAAATCTTAAATTCACTTTGATAATTCCTAGATAAATGCTAGATTGACTGTTGCTCTTTGAGTTCGCTTTCCTTTATTAGGAAGTTCATTTATCCTTTGGAACCTTCAGACTAGGTTGGTGTACCTTAGATAACAGACCTTTGTACCTTATATGACAGTATGTGATATTTTTCCTTCTGGTATGATATTTTTCCTTCCTTGTTCTGAGTTATATTTTGTCTGGTCCTGATTGACTTATTTTGTTTAAAAGTCTCCTGTAATTTTAAATTATTCATGGAACAATGTGTTGAACATGACTTTTTGAATTTGTATATGCATAAGTATGTCATGGCAATTTGGAGTTAGTTCCTGACTTACCTGTTTTTTTTTGTCCTTTTCTAGAAATAATTCCCTGTTGATTGATAATATGCCTGTTTCCTATTTTAATATATTCTTAAAAGTAACACAATAAGCATAACTTCATAGAAATGTCTTATTTTGCTACCTAAATTACAGATGTTTCAGGTTTATCTTTGATTTTTGCATGATTTTATACCAGAAAGGTGATTGAATATATTCAACTCTTTTTATTAGGAATGACAGTGATGGGGAAGGAGAATCTGATGATCCTGAAAAAAAGAAACTACAGAATCAACTTCAAGGTGGCTTTTGATTTCTTTTTTCTTTTTTTTTTTTGGTCAATTGTGAGGTTTGAACTCTGGACCTGGGTGCTGTCCCTCAGCTCTTCAGCTCAAGGCTAGTGCTCTACCACTTGAGCCACAGAGCCACTTCTGGTTTTTTTGGTGGTTTACTGGAGATAAGAGTCTCATGGACTTTTCACCCTGGACTGGCTTTGAACCGTGATCCTCAGATCTCAGCATCCTGAATAGCTAGGATTACAGGCGTGAGACACTGGTGCCTGGTTTAGATTTCATTTTTCAATTTCCTATCTCTGTTGAAAAGACTCAGGGTGAATTGTCTCTTGGAATTATTTTTTCTTACCCTCTGCATTTCAATGAAGGTCAAGACTGACTTTGGTTCTTTTTGGTCATATGATGGCTTGTTTAAAAGATTTCATGAAGTTTTTCCTCTAGAGTTTTTAATAGTTTGGTTTATTTACTTATTTATTTATTAGCAGTAAAAATAGTGCTTTGTTTTTATACCTGTCTTTTTTTTGGTCCGATTGTGGGGCCTGAACTCTGGGCCTGGACACTGTCCTTCAGCTCTTCAGCTCAAGGCTAGCTCTCTACCACTTGAGCCACAGCGCCACTTCTGGCTTTTTTCTTTTTGCTTATGTGTTGCTGAGGAATCGAACCCAGGGCCTCATGCATGCAAGGCAATCGCTCTAACACTGAGCCACCTTCCCAGCCTCTATACCTGCCTTTAAAAGGCTTAAGACAGCTTGCTCTCTTTCATTTTATTTGTTTTGCCCCATGTAGAGAAAGTAGCTTTTATACTATTAGCACACTATAACATCTGGTGGTTTTACAGTTGACTATTGTCATAGCAAAATAGGTAAGGAGTTTACAGTTGGCCTTTATTGCCACTATTGTGGCTGGTTCTTTGATTCATGGCCGCCTGCTCTTCCTTATCTGCTTTCTAATATTCCCTCATATATTTCTGTCTTTACATTTTCTTTTCTCTTAGCTGTCTGTTTTACCCACCATACTTTAAAAGATTCTACTGACAAATCTAGAGAGTTGATAAATTGTAGCTCTTTGTGTGGAAAAGGCATCTCTTCATGACTTTACTAAGATTGTTTATCATTAAATAACGTCTAGATCTTAATTCTAATTTTAGTTCCAGAATACCACATACACACATGCAAACACACACATGAAAGTACAAATTGACTTTTTCTTCATATTAGACTAACCTTTTAACATGCAAAATATTTATGCTTCTATTTGATTTTAAGTACAAATGTTTTCATAACAGGTTATAATGTCTTAAATTTCTAAAAATATAATTAGTCTTAGTTTAATAGGTGATACTTCCTAACAAAAAGAAATAATCTATAAAACTTAATTTTAGAACCACTAAATTATGTAAGTGGTGTTTTTATTATACCTAAAACAACTGCATGTCATCTTAGAAAGGCTGCTTTAGTAGTTGAGTAATTTCATGAAATATTACCAGAATATTTTCCATGAAAAGCTTTTTATGAAATATTAGAACATCTTTTAAAAAAATTACAGGAACTTTTTCTCAGACTGCTAATGCAACAGTTGTATGGCTTGTTGGATCTATGAGTAGCCTTTTGGCCAAAATAGTTACAAATGCATAGGGATGCACTTCCTTTGTTCCTGACACCTGCTTCTGCTTCCATTTCTATCCCCTTTTCTTGCTTCTCCACCCTCTGCCTTCAGCTAAAGTTTTCTGGTATCTTCTCTCTGGTTAAGGAAAGCATTAGGTCACCTTCCCTGTTGGTTAACAGGAACAATAATAAATCTGCCCTCCTGAACAAGCACACTTGATCATCCAGAGTCAGTGTATTAAATATGGTAGCCACTTGTTTGGTGCTTATCTAAGCACACATGATATTCATCATGCCCTATGAAGCTAGCCTAAGTAGTTTGGCCAGGTGATAGTATTTTTGTTTCACAGATGAAGAAGCATAAATGCAAACTTGGGAGTTTTATCTGCCACCCAGCCAATTTCCTCACTATTGTGACTAGTTCCCACAACAGCTTCTTCCTCCTACTATTTCAAAAAGGTTTCTGGCTAAGGGAAGCTTTCCAGACAGTTTTATAATGCATTTCATTTAGCATCCTTATTTTATGTTGCTTTTTAACTTTAAAGAAAGTTAGTTTAGGTCGCAGTATCAGCTCCTGAGCCTGTGCTGTGGCCCTGGCTGGTCAGTGTAGGAACCTTCTCAATAAAGTTGCTTCTTTATTAACAAAAAAAGAAAAAAGAAAGTTAGTTTAAAGATGTCATGATTTTTTTTCGGGGTGGAGCCAGGTCCTGGGGCTTGAACTCGGGGCCTGGGCACTGTCCCTGAGCTTCTTTTGTGCAAGAGTAGCACTCCACCACTTGAGCCACAGCTCCACTTCTGGCTTTTTCTGAGTAGTTTATTGGAGATGAGAGACTCTGGGACTTTTCTGCCCAGGATGGCTTTGAACCATGATCCTCAGAGCTCAGCCCCAGCATAGCTAGGATTGCAGACATTTGCCACCACTGCCCTGCTGACATGATTTTTTTTTTTGTAGGTGCCATTGTTATAGAGCGACCAAATGTGAAATGGAGTGATGTGGCTGGACTTGAAGGAGCCAAAGAAGCACTCAAAGAAGCTGTGATTCTGCCTATTAAGTTTCCTCATCTTTTTACAGGTGGGATAACTTTGAACTAGTTTTATATGATGACTTTTCTAAATTACATAAATGGCTAAGGTAAACATTGTGAGTTCTTGTCATATTATGAATTATCTTAAATTGTGACAGTTGTAGGTGGTAAAACTTCACAAAAGAAGTTTTCTTTCCTATATCTGCATCTATATTTGCAATAGATAAAAAATCCATAAGGAATCCAACTGACATTTAGTAGGATATTATGTACTCATTAAAATACAGTATATATCAGTAATAATAAATTTAAGTTCTATATTAAGAATGTCAAAATCTCTTGTAAAGACCAAAAATCAAATCATGAGTACAGAGAATGTGTATTAAATAAATGGGTCTACTGAGAAGTAAGTATAAGGTAGGCTGACTTAAAAATATTAATGTAGGCTGGGAAGGTGGCTTAGTGGTAGAGTGTTTGCCTAGCATGCATGAGGCCCTGGGTTCAGTTCCTCAGCACCACATAAGCAGAAAAAGCCAGAAGTGGCGCTGTGGCTCAAGTGGTAGAGCACTAGCCTTGAGCTGAAGAGCTGAGGGACAGTGCCCAGGGCCAGAGTTCAAGCCCTATGACCGACAATAAAATAAAATAAAATAAAAATTAATGTATGTCCAAAGAGTAAGACTTTAGATGATTTTAACTTTTGCCTTTCATTTGAATTGCTTGCACCAGTCACATTTGAGTATTCCTATTTCTAAATGAAAGAGGAGTCAGAATGATTTAATGGTTTCAGATGAAAAGCAGATGTCCTCTAGGTAGAACAGCTATCATCACTGTGAAGAGAATGTTACTGACCCACCATCGGGAGGTAGCTCAGGTTCTGATTCCAACAGTAAGTGACCTATCAGTGCAGAACCATTCCTTCCCATAGTGCTCTTGTGACTGACAGCCTGTGCCTGTGATGGGGCTATACCTAGCCTTTCAAGAACAAGTGGTCTATGTTGAGATTGACATTGGCCTCAAACCGAACAGATCCAGAAAGTAACGGAGAATAAAGAACTTCTGGGCTTCAGGTAGACTTACACCTAACTTCAGAAATATGAAACTCACAGTATAAAAGTTGACATAATTCTGTGAGGGCACAAAAATATAGTTGAGCCACTGTATTAATGTGCCAATATTTCCCACATGTAAGTTTTTCTACATGTGAACCTTTTTTGTTGTTTGTTTTTTTTTTTTGGTCGGTTGTAGGGCTTGAAATCTGGGCCTGGGCACTGTCACTGAGTTCTTCAGATCAAGGCGTGTGCTCTACCACTTGAGCCACAGTGCCACTTCTACCTTTTTCTGTTTATGTGATGCTGAGGAATCGAACCTAGGGCCTCATGCATACAAGGCAAGCACTCTACCACTGAGCCACCTTCCCAGCCCATGTGTGCCATTTTTAAAGTACTTTTTCTTCAAATAAAAATGGCATAAATACAGAGAGACATTTTAAAATCTACAAGTGTTCAGCTTCCTTAATTTCCACAGAGTTGGTGAGCTTGTGTGTGTAACAGCCTGGAGCTAAGGAATGTGCTACCACCTGAGCCTGCCCATAGCCTCTTCCCAGTTCCTCCCAGTTGTCATCCCTCTGTTGACTTCCAACAGCATAGGTTAATTTGCTCATGGTTGACCTTCAGTCCATCTCTTTTGTCTTCAAAGACTGCTTTCTGTCTACTATAAATGAAAAAAGTATTTTTCTAATACATATTAATGGCAATTATTTAAATATAAAGTGTTTGAATGCTACCTCAAAGTGCTTCATGTGGTGATAATACTGCTGTTCTATTACCACCCTCTCAGAGACATTGACTTCAGTTGGATAAACTTACATCTTGTGTTGTTGTTCCTTTTTGTTTTGGGGATAGAAATCCTCTGTGTAGCCTGGGCTGCCCTCAGTCGCCTAATCCCTAATGCCTGTTTTCCAAGGGCTAGAATGATAAGTATGTCCTGCTCTCCCAGCAATCACATGCATTTAGAAGGGGATAATTCAAATACAAGTTGAGCTTTCATAGCAGTAATGATAGCAAGCCGTGCTTTGTTTTGCCACCAGTGGTTTGCTTAGCGTTTTGTTGAAAATACTGTGTACCATCCACATATACCCAGCACGTTTTAAAATCTATATTTGATATTTCATTGCCACAACTTACTTTATTCCTCATTATAATTCCTCATTGGCAAAACTGAGCGTTTTCATGTCTTTACCCAACCAATGAGGTTGGTAACTGGGATATTAATTTGTACTTTCTATGAATCAAGAATTCAACAGAACTGGACAAGTTATCCAAAGTGTTAGGCTCATTCTTCCAAAGACAATCTCTCCAGCTGCCCTATCTTCATGTACAGTTTTTCTACAGGGCTTTGGTGTTGAGAAGTATAAAGAACAGACCATCTAGAAGGAACCTTTAATTGAATCCTGTCTCCTTCACTAACTAGACTATAAGCCCTGGAGGGAAGAGATCCTTTTGGATTGGCCTGCACATTATGGTCTCCATATATATTGTTTGAATGAACAAGTGAACAAGTAAATGAATTGCCTACTAGAAGGGCTACAATGATGTCTACTTACAAAGTAATCTGCATTTTTGACAGAGTAGTCTCTAGAAAAAGCAAATAAAGAAAGTATATGTAAAAAGTACTTACTTTTGACTTACTTAAAAAAATCTTATGGTGAGAGCTCCAAAGAGAAAACCTTCTCCTAGCATTCTTCATTGTGGATGATTAATGTCTACAGTGACTGATAGTAGTCTTCACATTCTTCTTTTATTATGCACCTGTAGGTAAAAGGACACCTTGGAGAGGAATCCTACTGTTTGGGCCACCTGGAACAGGAAAATCTTATTTAGCCAAAGCTGTAGCAACAGAAGCAAATAACTCAACATTCTTTTCAATATCTTCTTCTGATCTTGTTTCTAAGTGGCTGGGGGAAAGTGAAAAGTAAGTAGTAAATTGGTTGTTAATATTTTTAGTTTCTTCTTTGAGTAGTTGTCGCTGTATCAACTATAAAATAATTTGTTTTACATCATTAATAATACTCAGAAAAGAGATACAATATTGGTATTCATTTCCCTCAGTCCCTAATTTGGAATTTACTTTGTAGGGGAAAATAACAGCATACAAGTGTTTCTGTGTATGTGTAATTTAGTAAATTGTAAAATGAATTGTCTACTTGTAGCATTCTTACTTCCAGCTCCTGAAATATCTTAGGCTTTTAATCAATTCAGTTCTGGTAATGTCCATTTGTTGCCTTGTTTCAGTCTTACTTCTCTAGCAACTACAGGTTTTATTTACTTTTAGGTTGGTTAAGAACTTATTCCAGCTTGCAAGAGAGAACAAGCCTTCCATCATCTTCATTGATGAAATTGATTCTCTGTGTGGCTCCCGGAGTGAAAATGAGAGCGAGGCTGCTCGGAGAATTAAGACGGAGTTTCTCGTCCAGATGCAAGGTGGCATCGCTGCTGTGACTGTTTTAATACAGTTTTTCTTTATTATGAAGCCATTAGTTTAACAGTGTAGAAAAATTAAAGCCCATTTCTCCATTTTAACTGTCTCATTTATACCAAATTTTAATCCTTTTTTTTTCATGTGAATGTGATTTTTTTATCCACTTGCAGTTACTTAACAGGGCTCAACTCACTGGTAAAAATAGTGAAGACTTTAATATGACCATCTAAAAAATGCCAGGAGAAATAGCAATGAAAGGAATCTTTTGAAAAGGATAACAATAGTATTTTCCACAATCCAGGAGATTTGATTCTTGGGAATATTTACATGATCTTAGAGTAACATGAATTCAGAGATTTAATTGAGAGGTTCAAAGTAATTGAAAAGTTCAAAATGTAGTTTCTCCAAGAGTCTCAAAATGAGACACCTTAATGTTAATAAAGATTTACATTTCTGAACAGAACACAGATGAGTTTTAAAAACACTACAGTGACAAATTAAAGTATTGGCCATTTTAATACAGGGGTTGGTGTGGACAATGATGGAATTTTGGTTCTGGGAGCCACAAATATACCTTGGGTTCTGGATTCTGCTATTAGACGAAGGTAAGATGATAGAGTAAATACCATGTTTCTAACTATATATGTCACAAGTGAATGATGACTCCCTTTTGCCTAGTGAGGAGGCATTCAGGGAACTACCCTGTGGCCCTCTGCTTTGGGGGAAGAGGAAAGGCCTTTGCCATGTTTGTTTGCCTGCTGTGTTGCAGATACAAGCTTTCTTAAGTGCAGTCTTTTCACATCGGAAAATATATTGTCACAGGCTTACCTTTAATTTTGATTAAGCTTAGTGAGCATTGATGCTTCCAAAACTTATATAGTTCTGTAGGCATATTGTATTTATAATTCTGGTGTGATTCTTTCACAAGGTAAATAAGGTAAAGATGATAGATTTTTAGTAAACAAAAGAAAATTGTGTCTGTATTGTATCTGCCTGTAGCTCATGCCTGTAATCCTAGCTCCTCAGGAGACTGGGATCTGAGAATCGTGTTTTAACGGAGAGGCTACGGGATTTTTATTTCCAATTAACCACCAAAAAGCCAGAAGTAGAGCTGTGGCTCAAGCATAGAACACCAGTCTTGAGCTAAAAAGGCAATGGATAGGTTCCAGTACCAGCATACAAAAAAGAAAAGAAATGGTGTCTGCAACTTTTTTCCAAACCTCAGTTGTAGGAAAGGTGTGCAGATTCTACTTCTCACCATAGGGCATGCATTTAGTCTTGCATGGTAAAACTTATAATCACTTCCCTTTGAGCTACTCTTACTAAATTTACTTGTTGGTTTGCCAACACACTGGATTTCTATCCATTTTATCCATTTACTAATAAAGGAAATGTGTGAAGAGTATTTCAAACCTGTGTTTAGAGGTAATAGAAACTAATTTCTTAAAATCTCCCAACCCCGGAGAGTTACTTGAAGGAGAACAGTCTGCAAAGACCACTTAAGTTGTCCTTCATTGCTTTCTCCCTACCTCCAAACATTAAAATCCTGAGAAGGCAAATAAGATCGTTAGTAAAACCTAGTACTTTATTATTTATAGTATGTGATAATTTGTTCTGAATAAAACTTGGGGCTTTACATAGTAGGTTTATCCTGTCACATTTTGAGTAATTTTACTAGTTTGAATTTAGAGATTTATTGTCATTTATTTTATATTACTGATCATTAACCCATTCATCCAGGATTCAGAGTACAAACTATAGCAAACTATAACCCTTTTGGACTTGCCCTTTTAAGTCATTTATTCCACATAGAATAAACCCCAAATAAGCCAGAATAACTCCTATTTTGCTGTCATCTTTTATTTGTTTTTAATGTATCCCTAGATATTTGTCCCATATATAATGAACGTACTTGACACATGTTTAGCTTATTTTGGTATCATTGAAAAATATCTAAATACCTGTTTCTTGAAAATGTCCTAATTGGTCTTAAGAGACAAGATCTCTACACATAGCCATAGCTGGTCTAGAACTCAAAATCCTTCTGTCTCAGTCTCTCATGTGCTGAGTTTACAGGTATGCACCACCATGCCTAACCTGAAGAAGTCCTAAGTATATATTTTAACATTCCTGACCTTACGTTATCTTTTTTTTTAAGATTTGAGAAGCGAATTTATATTCCTTTGCCTGAAGCCCATGCCCGAGCAGCAATGTTTAAACTGCACTTGGGCAGCACACAGAACAGTCTAAAGGAAGCTGACTTCCAAGAACTTGGGAAGAAAACGGATGGCTATTCGGGCGCAGACATAAGCATCATTGTGCGAGATGCACTCATGCAGCCTGTTAGGAAAGTTCAGTCAGCCACTCATTTCAAAAAGGTAAGCAACTTTAGTCTGTCTTTCATATATCTTTTTATTTTTTCTGGTCAGTCTTGCGGCTTGAACTCAGGACCTGGGAGCTGTCTCTGAGCTCTTTTGCTCAAGGCTAGCATTCTGTCACTTTGAGCCATACCACCACTTCGAGTTTTCTGATGTTTCATTGGAGATAAGATGTTTCACAGACTTTCCTGCCCAGACTGGTTTCAAACTATGATCCTCAGATCTCAGCCTCCTGAGTAGTTGGGATTACAGATGTGAGCCCCCAGCTCCTGGCCTGTTATTTTTAAGATCAAGTTTAAGAGCATTATTGGTTTGTCTTCAAAGGAGTTGGAATGGACATTTCTGTTTCACTGAAAATACTTCTCCAGTAAAGCTTAATAGTCTTTGTTAGTAGTGCTAAACTGTTTTAACTTTTTCTCTAGATGGTTTTTTAAGTATTCCTGCATTGTTTTGGGGTAAGCATAGAAATATAAATTACATAGTTGCAAAACTGCTTCTGATGTAGATAGAACTATCCCAAGCAGAATCTGGTACATTAAACCTCAAGAACAAAGTCCAAATAATACAAGCCTAGTGTCTTTCAGGTGTGCACACTGTCTGGCGCACTGTGCTGTATCCTGACTTGTTATTTTGAGTTCAATAACACCATGAGAAAGGCACCTGGTAACTTCTGTAATTTAATCTGGGACTTGGATACTAACAATTACCCCAGCATATTACAATGTGAAAGTGGCAGAAATGTCATTCAACTACAGAATCTGAATTCAAGTTATTCTTCTGACATGCCTTCCTTGTGAATGAGTTTAGTATTTGACTGAGATACATTTTTGTTAAAAAAAATTTTAGAAGTCTCACCCTGTGGTCCAAACTGGCCTCAAACTCATAATCTTCCTGCCTCAGCCTCCCAAATGCTGAGATTATAACTTTGCCATGGTATGATTATAACTTAAATTACAGTGGATTGCTACTTGGGATCACCCACTGGACAGCAGTATCTACCTTTTCTTAAGGTAATACATGTGAAATTGTAAACAAACAAAAACAAAAACATAAACCTAATCCCATAGCATGACAAAACTAAAAGATTAGGACTATTAACATTTATATAACTGTCATATGCCATAATGAAGTTGTATAAGTTATGAGATTTAATTAAAACCAGAATGAATCATAATTAGGTATCTTCAAGCAGATATCGTACCTATTTAAGGCTCATTTTTGTCTCTAGTGAAGATAACACTACTTTCAAGTGATGTCATAAATAATCATAATAGTCATGGTACCAAAATTTGCCTGCCTTTACTGCTTTTCAACCATTTTATTTCTGAGAGCAGAATGGTCTCAGATTACCTTTAATACCCAAGTCATTACATTTTCTCTTAAATTTTCTTAGCTGTTCACTACAAATTCTTAGGAATTGAATCCTATCCTATACAGAATTAATTATTCAGTTCTAGATATTATTGCTAGGATTGCCTTAAATGACGGTGAAGCCAGATTCTAGTTACTAACATAAAGGTAACATAACCAGACCAATTTTTGCAATTACAATTATTAATGAATAAATTGTGCAAAACACTAGGCTTCACTGTGGCATTCCCTTATATACATATGGTTTGTGATCAGAACAATTTCAACACTAGGACTTCTATAACCAACTTTTCTAACCATTGCTACAACTCTTATTCTTTTCTCTGTTTGCATGGCTAATTACTTCAATTAGCATATTTGCCTGTTAATTTTGTTTACTGTATTTTGAAATATTTAAAGTTCTAATCCAGGTTTAGAGTTAAACCAGGAAGTAAACAGCTAAGAATGACAGAGGTATCTGGCCCTGTGTAGCTGAAATTTTGAGGAGGAAAGACAGATGTTCACATAATGAGTAAACGGTATATGTATTTCTTCATCCTTATGCCTACCCCAAAGTAGATCATTCTCAAACATGAAAGCAGTCCCAACCTGAGACACATCTAAATACTTGCACATGACTTTATATCACAGAGGTTCTTTTCTAGTTAATGTTAGAACTTATTTATTTTAAATAAGTTAGCCATCATAAGATGGTATGGAGATTGTTTGTTGTGTAATTAAATTTAAAAGGGACATAAAGATTTTAGACTAGCACATCCATACATCTCAAGTTTTTCAGCCAAGTAAAACAGCACAGCTTAGGATATTTGAATATATTTCCTTTTGGTCCCCAAGATTGCTATACCAAATAAGCTGTAGAGGATAAAAAAGGAACAGGTAGCCACAGATAACTGTTTTCTCTTTTATTTACTCAAATTCAATCAACCAAAATCTATTCACTTACCCAGTGGTACTTATTTTTGTTGCGGATTCTTTTGCAGAAGTAAGCATTTAAATACATGCAACAGTTAATATATTTTTCGATTTTCTTTTAAGAGCCTACATTCTTAGGCCATTTTTCTTATGCTTACTTAAGTTCGTGTTTGCTACAGGTGCGAGGACCTTCCCGAGCTGACCCGAACACCATTGTGGATGATTTGCTGACACCCTGCTCTCCAGGGGACCCCGGAGCCATTGAAATGACGTGGATGGATGTCCCTGGAGATAAGCTTCTGGAGCCAGTGGTTTCCATGGTAAAGCACTATACTTTGTAATTTGCCAAATAGATGAAATCTTAACGTTTTTAAACAATTGCTGGGAAGTGTTCCTTTGTTTATTTAGTACTATTGACTCATTCTTAAAGTAGTAAAGGTTAATTGAGCTTAAAACACAAAAACTATTGTCTTTATTATTTGGGGGGGGGGGGGTGTTAAATGTTTATTAAACCAGGCATTTAAATTCTATATACACTTAAAGACTGTAAACAAATACAGTGTATTTGTAATTACTGTCTTTAAAGTGGTTTTTTTAGGCTGCAAGACAAGTCCTAGGACTTGAACTAGGTACTGTCCCTGAGTTCTTTTGCTCAAGGCTGCTCTACTCCTTGAGCTCCAGCTCCACTTACAGCTTTTTGGTGGTGAATTGGATATAAGAATCTTAATAGACATTCCTGCTTGAACTGGCTTTGAACCTAGATCCTCAGATCTCAGCCTCTTGAATAGCTAGGATTACAGGTGTGACCCCTGGTACCTGGCTTAGGCTGCAAGACTTTTTTTTTTTTTTTTTTTGGGTCCGGTCGTGGGGCCTGAACTCTGGGCCTGGGCGCTGTCCCTCAGCTCTTCAGCTCAAGGTGCTCTACCACTTGAGCCACAGTGCCACTTCCGGCTTTTTTCTTTTTGCTTATGTGGTGCTGAGGAATCGAACCCAGGGCCTTGAGCATGCAAGGCAAGCGCTCTACCACTGAGCCACCTTCCCAGCCCTGCAAGACTTTTTAAGAGAAAGAATATTTATCTTTTAAAGCACAGTGTTCTGACCTCATATGTTTTAAAGCTAGAATAGCATTCTTCAAATGCTTATGTACGTTCACAAATTATTGCTTATGTACGTTCACAAATTATTGCCAAGACTTAACTGAAAAGTAGGATTGGTATGGAGTTCTTCCTCTGAATTTCAGATTTCAAAACCACCAGAAACAGTGATTCTGGTGTCATAGGGTTCACAGTGGTCCTTTCTAGCTTTTTTTCTCCAGGCTCCACAGAAAGTTTCAGCAGTTGAGGTTTTAAATTGTTACTTGAAAAATAACTTACTTTTTTCTTTTAAAAAATGTAACTGAATTTTATAGCATTTTTGCTGTAAAATGTATTTTTACGATGGGTTACTAACAACTGTAATCTTAGTTATTCGGGAGGCTGGTAAGGATCACAGTTTGAGACTAACTGAGACAGAAAAGTGAGACCCCTTTCTCAACCTATCACCGTCATCCCAAGCTACCTTAGAAGTTGGAATTGGGAGGTGGGAGGTTCTTGGATCCAGGCAGTCCAGGAAAGAAGTGCAGGACATAGTGGTGTACACCTGTCCTCCTAGAAACAAGAAGCTCGAAGTAGAAGAATCACAGCTCAGGTATTTGCCTAGGCAAGGAGCAAGAGCCTTCTTCAAAAATAACGATTAAAAACCTAGGCAGGAGCCAGGCACCAGTGGCTCATGCCTGTAATCCTAGCTACTCAGGAGGCTGAGATCTGAGGATTATGGTTAGAAGCCACCTGGGGCAGGAAAGTCCATGAGACTCACCTCTAATAAACTACCAAAAATAAAAGCCAGAAGGGGAGCTGTGGCGCAAGTGGTAGAACACTACTAGCTTTGAGCAAAAGAAGCTTAAGGATCATGCCCGAGCCCTGAGTTCAAGCCCCACGACCAGGAAAAAGATATGTGGTCTAGAGGCTTGGCTCAAGGGATAGAACAACAGCCTAGCAAGCATAAGGCCCTGATTTCAAACCTCAGTACTGCTTAAAAGAAAAAAAGGAATATATTTCTTATATTAGAGGAGTAAAATAATTTGTAAACTTTTATTTTGTAACTATTTACTTTTAGGATATTTAAAGTTTTCTTCTTGGTGAACACTTAAGTTTTCAAAATTTCTTTAGCACTTCTATGTATGTGCTATGTAGATTGAGATAGACGGCATAGATGTATGTATGTGTATATGTGTGTATATACACACACAGTGGTCTTATGTTTATGTGTTAACTATGATTATTTGAGAAATTATTCAGGAATCCCTTTTGATTTTAACCCTTTACAGATGGTCTCTTTTAAGTGTTTGTATTCTGTCCAGCGCTGAAGAACAACAGTAGTGTAGGAGTGTTCCTTCTCAGTACCTGGCTTCCAGTTTTGCAAGACATATTCTCTCTTGGTTGCTGTTGTTGCTAAGGTTTTTGTTTTGTATGTATGGTTTAGATTTTTGAGGCTGGGACTCGCTAGGTAACCCACAGTCCTCCTTCCTCTTCCTCCTAAGTGCTGGAACTACCATGCCACAATCATTTTTTTAATGAGTCTTAGTGTTTGAGTCATCTATTGTTTTCCTGTGGCTAATTGATTTAAAAATTGTATTCTGCTTCATTTAATTCCAAGTGAATTGTGATTTACTTAATTATAAGTGTGCTACTGAGAAGGCAGAGATCACAAGAATCTCAGTTAGAGAGCAGCCTGGCAAAAAGTTTTTGAGGAACAGCCCCCACTATAGGAACCACTATAAAGCTGTTAACATGGTACAAGTATCTGTCATCCAGCTATGTAGGAAGTGTAAGGACCTTATCCCCAAAGAGCCAAAGCAAAAAAGATCGGGCTCTGGTTTGAGTGATAGAGTACCTACCTAGCAGTCATAAGGCCCCAAGTTCCAACTAGATCAGCCAAAAAAAAAAAAAGTTAAATTTATTGTGTTTATTCTTCCTGTCCTGAATATTTGATTTTCAAAATTTTCGGCTTTGCCAGACACGAATGGCTCATGCCTGTAATCCTATCTCCTCAGAAGGCAGAGACCTTTGGATCGCAATTTAAAGCCAGCCCTGGCAGGAAACTACTCAGAAATAGCCCGAAGTGGCACTGTGGTTCAAGTGGTAGAGCGCTAGCCTTGAACACCAAAGCTCAGGAACAGTGCTCAGGCCTGAGTTCAAGCCCACAACCAGTAAAAAAAGAAAAAATTCTGCTTCATAGATTTTTGAACACTTCTGTAGCAAATAACCAATTTTTTGTAGTACTATTAGTGTATTAATTTTGAACTGCACTTAGGAAAACTGATCTCATATTTAATGAAAACAGATAAGACCAGAAATTAGATTGTATTTGTGGTAAGGTAATGAGAAGCCCACTGGAAGGTTTTGATCAGCACAAGTGAAGAAATGGAAGATTTCTATACAAAGGAATGATATGGTCAAAGATGCCCATTGGAAAGCATAAGGGAATTTATTGCATTGTTTAGCCTTGTTTGTCATAAGAATGCAGTGGCTTATATTTTATTTCATCTATTAACACTCCTCCCCCTCTTTTCTGATAGTGGGATATGTTGCGGTCACTGTCAAATACAAAACCCACCGTCAATGAACACGACTTGTTGAAATTAAAGAAGTTTACAGAAGATTTTGGCCAAGAAGGCTAAACCAAAGACAGCAAGGAAGATGTTTACCATATGCCTTTCTTTCATAGATATGTTTTCTGCCTTTCGGGGATGGCACTGACATTATTTCCAGTGACTCTTACCAGTCTACAAACATCTCACTTCAGAGTTCCTTTTAGTTTGTATTGTACTTTTCCTCCATAACCTACCTTTTAAGTGTTCCCATAGACAAAGATGGTACAATAATGGATTATAAGGAAATAAGCAATATGTGAATGGCGCATAAACAGAATTATCCAGCAAAAAGAGTATTAAAAATTGACAAATACTTAAAATTTTTATGAGTAATGGTCTTTGCCAAGAGCATTTTTCATTTTTTTTTTAGTAAAATGAAATAGGGCTTTATATTTTGACAAAAATGTCTTAAACATTCTTATCAACGTAAATTTTACTTACTTTATTGAAAATGATAGAGTCTTTACTCAGGGATAGGCAATAAAACAATAAAGAGCATTGATTGGTTTTGGGAAGATTTTGAATTGTGTCACGTTCAGTGCTCTTACTTTTTAATAAGTTGTTGTCTTGTTTTGTTTTCCTGTGGAGATTTAATTCTTTTCAAGGTAGAAAGCTTTTATAATTAAATGATACCTTTCACTGTGCAATCTCAAGAGAAAGACTTTCTAAATTAGATGTTGAATTTACCTTGAAGATGAAAAGTCTATTTCAATGTCTTTTGTAGCAAGATTGACCAAAACAGGTGGTAAAGAAGTATGAATTTTTTTTAATAACTGTCATGAGATATTGTAATGGGAACCTTTGCTAATAAGAAAATGGCCTCCCTTTGGATTATGGGATGTTTTTCAGTGTGAAATGGGTGTGTGTATTGTACATATGTATGTATATATAATTTTTTAAGATACAGAATATAAACAAAGGTCTTGCTTTCCACCTTTTAAGTTCAGGGAACAGTTGGTCCTGTCCACACATGTGTTATCAGTGTGACACTTCATGAGGCTTTAAAAATGAACTTATTGGATAATAAAACCTAAACATATGTTATTTTAGTGTTTAAATAAATGATCTGAGGATGTGTTACACACTTTAGCATCGACACTAAGTTGTGCCTTGTACATTTGCATTGACTATATATGCAAAGACTAAGTTAGTTAGAATGAGGTAGAGTCCTTAATTACTATAAAGTTCTACCTTACAAATTCTATACAGTAACTTACATTTTAAACTACATTTGCACATTCTACATACTATGCTATATGGTTGCCTTGGGGTTTTCTGTACAGATTGTTGATATTCAATGGAAATCATAGGCCTAAAACATGATGTTCTCATGTGAAGTAAATTGATAATAACCTACAATGGTTGTATGCTTTGTATGCTTTTTTTATTTGGAGTCTTGGTGTGTGGGTACAAAGAAATAACATGAAATTTTTGGACGTGTACATGAGAAGACTGGGTATGGTTTAATGTGAAACTCTTTGGCCAATAAGCCAGATTGCTTGGTTACAGGCAATTTAGTGGAGAGAGAAATAATTACACAAGGAGGCAATCAGCCAAAAGAGAATGTAAAATATTCTACAAGACAACTGACCTGGTTTCCTCAAAAACTCAGTTATTTTGAAAACTAATGGTTAAAGGACTCTTCTACTCATCTTGATTAAATGAAATAGAAGACATAGAATATTTGAACCTTGATTAAATCCTGGTTTGGAAAAAATTACAAAACAGTTTATAAAACAAAGACATGACTGTGGACTAAGATTATGGAATCATTGTGAATTGTCTTAGACATGGTAATGCATTCCCTGGGATTATGTTTATATATGTTTAATTCTACCTCTAGTTGTGCTTCAGATCATGTAGTATGTCATAAGGATGAGAGGAAAATTACTACGGTGTTCTTAGCTCACACTGTCAGAAAAGTACCTCATACACTCACACACCTACATGAAAAGTACATTTGGTTATGTAAGATTATGAGATGAAGTATAGTGTCTGGAAGAGGTGAAGCTTGGAGTCAGTTTTTTTTTTTTTTTTTTTTTTAAAGCATGTAGCTGTCTCCAGGCACTCGAGGCTCACAACTAATCCTTGCTAATCTTGAGGCTGAGGTCTTAGGATCACAGTTTGAAGCTAGCCTTAACAGCAAAATCTATAAGATTCTTTTATCTCCAACTAACTACCAAAAGGCAGGAAGTAGATTTGTGGAATGTTTGCCTTCCTTGAGGGAAAAAGCTAGGGATAGCTTCTGGTCTCATGAGTTCAGGTCTCTGTACCAGCACCAAAAAAAAATAGTTGTAGATTCATAACTGACATCTTGACGTTTCCCACATAACACACAGACCTATGAACAATCCTTGAAGATCATGAAAGTATCCATTACAACTGGACACTACCATTCTGGGCTGTTATACTAAGGCATTTGAATATACATAGGATATGGTGGGTTTGTGTGTGTGTGTGTGTGTGTGTGTGTGTGTGTGTAAACAGTCTTGTTCCAGAGTGGATGGCCTGAAACTGATCCTGCATCACCTCCAAAATGGTGAGTTGCAGGTGTGTGCCACTATCATGCCCAGCTGGCCAGTATACCCTTAAAGGCTCAAGACCTTATACTCTGTAATTCATAAGATAAAGTTTCAAACTACATAGGGCACGAAAAGGTACCAAGGTACCTAGCTACTCTAAGATCTAGATTGTTAAAAAGTATTTGAGCTGAACATGGCAGGTTGTAAGTACGTGAGAATAGGAAGAGTGATGTTAGAAATAACAAGAGGTGTAGTGTGGACATAGTACCAGCCAATTAGCTAGCAGTAGCCTTAATTTCCAAGGTGATGTGTTACAATCTTCATAAAAGCACAAGTGCACCCTTCTTAGCTTAAGTGTGCCAGGTACTGAAAAAGTAACAATTCTTGGTTTGAAAACTGGTAGGTAGGGTGGTGAGGACAGGGATGGTTCCCTTCTGTCATCTGAAGTTTCACTGGGATGAACTGGCAAAGGTTAAAAGAAGAAAAGGCATCTAGGGTTAAAAGATGGACCCACAGCATGGGAGTTAATCACAGGTTACCCTCTAGCTCAGCAACCTCTAAGAGGCTTATACACACTTTTCTACAGAAAAGCTATTAGGGGAATGTAGACAGTTTTGAGGCGTTTCAAATGATTAGCGAGAATGAAACAGCTTGTAAAAGTATCCCTCTGCTGGGGCAAGTGTGTGGGAAGGGTTGGAGTTCACAAGGAAGGTGCATAGGGTGAATATGGTCAGAATAACGGTTTACACCAATGAAGATGCCACAACGAAACCTGCTGCAATTGTTTCAGGAAGGGAAAAGCCAGCCCTGGAGAGTAATAGAGTGAGACTGATTGGAAGGCATCATATACATGAACAAAGTCCAGCTCCCCTGCGTAATTGATATGTGCCCGGGCTTTTCTGTTTGTTTGATCTGAGCCCAAGGGACAGACATCATCTTGTTCTGGAGGTCAGTCCACGTGTGGTTATGCATTTTCCATCTTCTAAGGTAAGTGGTGGTATTTTGGATGGAGAGGGTGCTCTGTCTGGAAGGAGATAGCTGGTTTTTCTCTTTGCCATCTGGTTGGAATGCAGGGAACTGCAGTGAGTCCTGTCATTTCTAAGTGGGCAGAATCAAAACAAGGATTCCCTGGGGTCAGATGCTTACCAGGCCCCCCAAATCTCTCTTTTCTCTCTCTCTCTTTGAGGTATCATCCTGAGCTCCAATTAGGTCAAATTGAAATCTGCCAGGCTGAATAGTGCCATTGTTTTGGTCACATGACAAGGCCGGTGATCTGGACCCCTATTGACTCCAGTTTGGAGATTAGGCTTACCTCTGTACAGTGTCACCCTGGCAGTGCTGGCGAGAGGACAAAGTACCCATTGACATGAAGCGTGTTGGGAAATGGAGTTCGAAGCCTGGCCTTTGCCCGACTGCAAGGTAGGTGATGGGTGGTAAAGGGAAGAATTGGCCCTAGTCCGGAGAGATCTGGTCTTTGTCTCCGGTGTGGGGGGGGGAGGTTGAGGGTCACCTGGCCGTGACAGGACCAGCCATTTCGGGGGGGGGGGGGGGAATGTTGGATTCCAGTAGTCCCAGTTGACTAAGGTCAACCGCTTGAACTCCGTCCAACCTCCTGGACCGACCCCACAGACGGCCCCTCCAACGCCCCCGACCCCGAGGCGCAGGTTGCGCCCCCGGCCCGGCCCGCGGCTCTGACCCCTGCGCTGGTGACACCGGGCTCTGAAAGCCCGGAGGCCGTAATTCGGTGATTGGTTTTCGCAAGTCCCTGTGCGGGTTTTCCGGGTCCTCGGAAATAAAGGAGCATTGTGTTCTAGGATCGCGGGGAAAACGCGAAGTGGAACGTGGGCGGGGGGTGTCTGAATCCCCGGCTCAGGGAGCCGAGATCGGGGCGAGATCCGGACGAGATCCGCAGATCCGGACGCCGGAGTTCCCTTCCGCCCTTAGCGGCGGCCGGGGCTGGGCTGGCGGGATCCGGCTCGGGGAGGGGCGGCGGCTGGAAACCCGCTCCGCGGGGTCCTAACACCGTCGCAGCAGCCGTCACCCCACGTCCTGCCGGGCCTGGGCCTGGACGGGGCGCGCGGGGGCCCGAGCCCAGGCTCCGCCGCCGCCGCTCGGCCGCCGGGGACCCTGAGGTTCGGCGGAGCGAGAGTGACGGGCCAAGCTGGCCGGCCCGGGCCCCGCCCCGGCCCCGCCCTGCCCGGCTCCGCCTCTTCCCCTCGCCGCCGCCCATCCTCGGAACCCAAACACCCCGGGCTCGCTGAGGCTGCGGCCGTGCGCGTGATCGCCCCGCCGCCTGCCCGCGCCCCGCCGCCTTCTCCCCGGCCCCCTCCGGCGCACGGCCCCGCGATGCTGCTCCTGGCCGCCGCCTGCCTCGTGGCCTTCGTGCTGCTGCTCTACATGGTGTCTCCACTCATCAGCCCCAAGCCCCTCGCCCTGCCCGGCGCGCACGTCGTGGTAAGCGGCCTCCTGTTGCTGCGGCCCGGCCCGGAGCGAGGGAGAGGGACGCTGGGGACCTCCGGGGCCCGGGCCGAGGGAGAGGGTCGCGGGGGACCTCCGGGGCCCGGGCCGAGGGAGAGGGTCGCGGGGGACCTCCGGGGCCCGGGCCGAGGGAGAGGGTCGCGGGGGACCTCCGGGGCCCGGGCCGAGGGAGAGGGTCGCGGGGGACCGCCGGGTCCGGGCCCAGGGAGAGGGTCGCGGGGGACCGCCGGGTCCGGGCCCAGGGAGAGGGTCGCGGGGGACCGCCGGGGTCCGGGCCCAGGGAGAGGGTCGCGGGGGACCGCCGGGTCCGGGCCCAGGGAGAGGGTTTCGGGGGACCTCCGGGGCCCGGGCCCAGGGAGAGGGTCGCGGGGGACCGCCGGGGTCCGGGCCCAGGGAGAGGGTCGCAGGGGACCGCCGGGGTCCGGGCCCAGGGAGAGGGTCGCGGGGGCCGCCGGGGTCCGGGCCCGAGGTGGGGGCGGGGGTGGGGGCCCACGGCCTCTGTCCAGCCGGCCTCTGTCCAGCCTGACGCTGCCCCTCGGGGCCGGACGTCCGACCTCGGGGACCCGCCTCCCCCCCTCGCACTTCTTGCTCCTCCTGATGTGTCCCCCCCCCACTCCTCATGGCACCTGCCGGCCGAGTTCTGGGGATGCTCCTTAACCCCCGAGCACCCACACGTTGGGGAAATTTGGGTCTTCAGTTTACCCATGCGACCACAGGCAGGCTGAGAAAGTTCTGGGAGCTCGCCGCCGGCTGTGTATTTCCGGGGAGCAGGTGTGAACCCAGGGGAATTGGGGCACAGCGGGAAACGGGGCTCCAGGCGTCCAGGGCAGCCCCGGGACCCCGAGTGACCGAGGACCGCGCGCCCGCCGTGCGGGGCCGCTCCAGGCTGTGGTCTGCGTCCCCGCCGCGCCCGCCGGCCTCACACCGCGCGTGCAGGACCTGGGAGCCAGCGTGTAGGGGACAGGCCGGTCCTTGAGCGCAGCTCTCTCTGGTAGAGTTACTGGTGTGCTTCCCACGACTGCCACTGGATATGTGGAGGAAGGTGAGCACTGTAGGTTCACCACCCCGGGAGAGGAAGACAAGGAACGCTGGGCAGGCATCCTGAGTGCTGCATCCACAGGAGGACTTCTGCCCCAAAGCATGGCTTTAAACACTTGAGTTCTTACTTAGAGCCCGGAGCTGATGGCTGGTGCATGTAATCCTAGCTATCCAGGAGGCTGAGATCTGAGGCTGGTGATTCAAGCCAGCACAGGCTGACAGATCTGAGAGCCTCCAGTTGACCAGCAAAAAGCTGGAAGTGGAGGTGTGGCTCAAGTGGTAAAATGCTAGTCTTGGGGGAAAAAGCTCAGGTACGTGTCCAGGCCGAGTTGAAGCTCCAGTATACACACACACACACACACACACACACACACACACACACTGCACACTGAATTCTTTAAGAACTTGCATGTGCAAAGTATAACATGGGAAATCAAATAGTTAAAGGCAAAGGCAGAATGAACTTTTTTTTGGCTAGTCCTGGGGCTTGAACTCAGGGCCTGGGCACTGTCTCTGAGCTTCTTTTGCTCAAGGTCAGCATTCTACCACTTGAGCCACAGCACCACACACCACAGTACC